ACACACACACACACACACACACACAGACAATTCATTTTATTTATGACATGACAGGGAAAAGGTCGGCATGCTGGAGACCCTGCTCTTCATATGTCAGCTTGATTTGAAAGATCTGCAGTTGTGGCTTTAAATGGATCTGGAACTGTTGTCAGATTGTCACATGACTCCAATTAAAGGATTTTGATACAAACATCAATATTTCTTGACTAATCAGGCTTTGTATGCACACACAATACTTGTTGGATTTGTGTTTATGGGCTATAGATCAATCCTCTAGCTGCATTTGAAGGAGCTTGTAGTATTATTTTAGCGCGATAAAAGTTTTTGCAAACTTTAAGAACAGGGCCCTGGTTCTGGGCAGTGGATAGAAATGGTAACAGCAAAAGCAATCAACACTTAAGGATCAATACACGTTTGATGATTTGTAAGTGCAACATGGGGAAAAAAAACGAAAAAGTCAAATGAGGCTGTAGAATTCTGCACACAAAAAACAAGAATAGCATGAACACTTCAAGACAGGGGATGAAAAGCTACGACTGCGCACAAGCATGATGACGATGACGACTTACCTTAGCGGATCGTTTCCAGGACCTCCTGAGCAGCATAGTCTGGATACATTACATTAACATATATTATTTCAACTGAGTCCTGTAGGGTGGGAAAGTACTAATGGTACAGCAAGACGGCGGGGTGGGTGGGTGGGTGGGTGGGGTGCTGTAGTACAATATAAGGAGCTAAAACAAGTGATGAAGAGGAGTCACACTCCATAAATAAAACATCAGGTGATAGTAACAACATTTTTCTCTACCAGCACATTCATCATTATGGCCTCACTAGTGGCTCATTAGCATTAATGGGACATTAAAGAGAACAAGCTCTCCTTTTTCTGATGCTACCTCGCCTTCATCCTTCTGTCTTTCTTTGACATTGCTCTTCATCTCTCTCCTCTCTGGCTGGAGGTACAGCACAGACAACACTTGGTCACATGATTAATTTATATACTGAATAAAACATGAGTGGGACAGGCTGTGTTTAATCTTAGTGCTGAGGACACATTTTGAAACCATCTTTCTCTGATACTTATTCAGGACAAAAGATGTGGAACGTCAAAACACAAACTGTGAAATGTAATCACTCCTTAATAGATTAAGTTTAAACTGCTATGATTAATAATCCTGGTATTAAAATATGTATCAGTGGGGGCTTGTCAATGGCTCCGCACCCTCAAACAAAAGCCTATTTTAGCATTAGTTAAAAATTATTTTACTAGATAACAATAGTTTTACTGACAATGCACCTGGTGTACTGTAAGAACCTGTGAGCATTCAACAGAAATTGTGTTCAAATTGTATTTGGTTAATTTCTGTCTAAATACATATACTTCCCGGTGTGGGGCGCTGCCAAGGTGGAAGTGAATGTAGCTCCTTAAGCTTATGGCAACCGAGGGACCTGAGGCTGCTCTTTCATTAGTTGTTGCAGATTTTCCAGAGAGACACTATCACTTTTATTTACAGTGAGTAGGTATTGATTTAAGTTTTTTTTATTTAACGTGATTGGTCGACCCTTGAAGGACACCCTTTCCCAAGGTGTTCGCTTGAAGAAAAAAGGGAGCTCGGTCCGGACCGACTCGATTAACAGATTCAGCAGCCGTCAAGTGATCGAGGACGAGCTTACACCCAGGGGCTTCTCCCACTCTTGCTATGAGAAACAGAGTTGGCTAACTGGATGTGGTGTCAGTAAAGTCTTTTATTGATTCCCCTGTTTCAAGGTGTCTGCATGGAGGTACTGTGGACAACAAGGTGGGGGGGTTCAAGACCTAAAACATCTCACTGAAAAATGAAAATGGCATGAAAGTTCCCACAGTCACTTAGACACAATGAGGTTACATTTTTGCGGCAGGCTTAGCATTGCTCAGCAGCTTGATGAAGGCTACAGAATTGGCATATTATGTTCTATATTTGAGTCCAAATAACTTCTACTACTGTAAAATTGAAAACAAAGATTAAAGAACAGCTTGCATTTTGTTTTTAGTTCTTATCTTTTAAAGAGTGTTACACTGAGATCGGTGCTGAGGGGAGATGTTTGTCTTCATTTTATTTACAAGAGTTACTGGAAGAATATGAAAACCAAGGGCTGAAAAGTAACCACTACTAAACATTTGAAGATATAAAGATTAAGATTAAAGACTGAACTTAATTTTTCAATTAGAAAAAAAGCTCCTCACTAGGCTGAAAGGTTAAGCAGGGAGAGGTCAGTCAGGACGCAGCTATATGGAGTTACTAAGAACCTAATCACCACTAGACTCACTTTATTCACATAAGGCCTCCACCGATACGTCTTAACCTCCCTCTGCTGCAGGAAACACAATGAACATCCTTACTGACTAAATGGGATACTGTTTGTTTTCATACAACATGTGGGTAGAATGTAACTAGTGCAATTACTCAAGTACTGTACTGATTACACTTCTTTTTAAGTTTAAAAAATGTTTTAACGGAAATGCTGTCCTTTTTTACTCCACTGCATTTGTTTGAGAGATTTACTAGGTACTTTACTACAGAAGATGTAAAATGTGACATCTTCATGAAGTATCATTTTTTGTGAAACCAAATGCAGGTTGTGGAGCTTCATCAGTTGCATCTTTCAATGTTAAATTAGTTGTAAGATGGAATTTACTGTAATACACTGTAGACAGCACCTTGGACAGTCTCCTCTAAAGGGTCTTGAATGGGGTTGTTTAATTCCACACCAGAGTGGGGTTGCTGTGTGTTAATACCCAGACAAACGCATAATACAATAGATATATTTGTGTATTCATTACTAATAAAGAGGATCAAATTTGTTAGAAATTTTATAAGAAAGAAAAACACAGAGAGGGAGTGGGGAGGTATTCCTACCGTCGCGTCTCGTCGCTCCTCTATGGGACTTTCTTTAGGTGTCAGGGTGACGGCCAGCTCCAGGGTGCCCAGATCCTGATCGGGATACTGTGGGTCCTTCAGCACCAGAGTTACAGGTATTGACCTGTGGCACACAGGTATGAATAATGATCAACTCTACTCCCTGCATGTTACATCAGAAGAATCACAAATGAAGAACAACACATATTGTCGCCATATGCGAACACCAGGAGTTGGAAAATATAACTTTATAGAAACTGCACAAAGGAGAAAAGTAAGAGAAACAGTAGATCATCAGGTAAGTTCTGAAAAGAACAGAAAGACTGCTTTTTCTCTATTCAATTCATTCATAAATGTTAGCAAATACAAAAACCACATTGACAACAACAGATGTCAGACCCACGCCCATCTACAACCAATCGATGTCAAGTAAAGGTAGATGTAGGTGTTAATGATAGGATGTATGAATGTCATACAAAAGTCTTGCTCCCTAAATAGCAATATGAAAGCAAAACTAACCAGATCAAATATAAACAAGGTAACAATCCTATGAACCTTGGTTCAGACCTTGGTCCAGACTATTGAGGTGTGAAAATCCCCTTTGACTGACACAGCAACAGAACAGAACTAAAAAGGATACTTCTGTTTGAAATGGGAAATCCAACTAGAAAGAGACGCAATGATGGTACCAAATGTTAGCATTAATGTCATCAGGGCAACAAACTCTACCTCTGCTGCTCCAGAGACTCCACATAGAGGTAAGCTGAACCCATGAAGTCATCTTGAAAGGCAAAGTCATAGTCAAACACCTGCAGAGAAGCAAAACAAAATTCTCCACTTACTCTTATGTTCATTAACAATGCATAAGGATAAGCTTTGTGTGTGTGTGTGTGTGTGTGTATGCATCATCCAAGCCTTTACCTTGAAATGCAAAGGTTCACTCAGATTATCCATTATTATAGTCTTCTTCTCATCCCACACTGGGTTGAGGTTTTTGTGGATGGTTTTGCTCTTGAACACCTCTTTATTACCGAGTTTGATCTTGACATATGGATCACTGCTGCCTAAGAAGACACACAAAGCTGTGAAAGAGCAATGAAAGCAAGATGTAGAAGAAAAGTAATAAATAGACACAGATTTTGGTTTACCTCCTCTGTCGCGTATGGCCAGGTTGTGGCCTCTCTTGAGGTCAATGTCCAGCTTGTACATCCCTGAGCTGGTGGCGATTCGCTCAGGATTGGCCCCTGCGGAGCACGGAGCAGCCATACCCTATTAAAAAAGGGATGCATTAATCACACACAATGCAACCAGTAACCGATCTCTCCAACAGCCACAAAGTGAACTCACTGAGATTTGTGAGAAAAAAAGAAAGTTCGTTTTAAGCCGTCTGAAGCGGAGCCCTCACTTCCTCAGCTGTATTGTTGCTTCCACGTTTGCCCACAGCTAACACTGACTGAAGTGTCTAATTCAACTCAGTAACTTGTCCCAGGGGTGATCACTAACAGGAAATTACACGAGAGTAGCTTCCTCCCATTCGTCCACAGCTCATATTTTTTCCACACTACAACCGTCACTCTCACTGCAGCGTTTCAGTGGTTGCAATGCAGAAACTCAACAGAGAATATAGAATAGCAAGTGATTCAAACAGATGACTAAGAGATGTAAACGGATTTTTCACAGACTCGAATTACCACAAAGAGATGTAAAACAACTAACAGAGATAGAAGACAAACAGACCCATGATAACGACAATGACTATAGAACAACCAGAAACAACCAGAAAGAAACACAAAATTACTACAATTAGCTGCAGAACAACAACAAAGACACACAAAAACATGAAACAGAAAACAGTCAGATGCAAGATGATAGTGACACATGACGATCAAAGAGATAAAAAAGGGCTACAATGAGATTCAAAACAATACAAGGAAAAGTAAATGGACCAAAAAAGAGACAAAACCTCATAAAGAGACACAAGATAATACAAAGACACAAGACAACAATGAAATCTATTTTACGAAGAGACGCAGAGACACAGATACAAAACAACGACTGGCGAAACACTTACAGAGACATGAAAATGTCCACATGTAGCTCGATCCCATAACTAACTTACTGTAAGTAAGTCTGTTGTTATTTAAGAATAACAAAACAATCTGAAGGATATGATTATGATGATTATTATCATCATCTTAATCATAATAACTTGACTTTTTATAGTGCCTTTCAAGGGACCCAAGGACGCTTTACGTATTTCATGATGCAGTTTACAAAAATTGATTCTTCATTTATCAGTGGCTTTCCAATTTATATTAAAAAAAGTTTCCGCACTTATGTAAACAACAACGTTAATCAAACATTAATCTCAGCATATACATCAATTTTCAGAGAACTACTCTGCTGGGGATGTAGCATCCTGTCAGCACTCATCCACTTAGAGAGATGCTCTGATCCATACTTCTATAATGTGATAATACATTAGGACCACACTATGTGGCTGTGGGATATGAAAAGAGGTCTCAGCTGACTGTGTGTATTACAGTTGATACATGATTTAAAACATGATTTGACTCTCTGCACTAACCTTCCTCTGGATCACTGCACTGCCAACATAGAAATGAATGTAGTGATCACTAGGTGGTAAAATACTTTCATCTTTACATTATTTGAAAGTTGCCATTCAAATGCATTCATCATTTTGTCTGATTATTAATGAGTTCATGAGTTAAAGCACTTAAACCACTTGATGAACGGTTGTGGAACTTCCTCTGTGAAACTTCATACATTGGCAACAGATGATTGATAACTTGAAGGATAACTTCATTACTTAATTCGGTCTTCAGTCTTACATTTGACCAACAATGGTCTTATAAACCTTTTTTATTGACTCTTTATTATCATTATGAACTACTTTTACTTATTCTTACTATAATTATTTTACCTCCACTTTAATTTAACTCTATGTTATTATTTTCATTCTTCATATTTTCTTTTCTTTTAGTTATTAATTTCAGTTTTCATTCCACACTCTTTTACCACTCTTCAGTCATTTATTTATTTTAGCTCCAATTTACTGTGTGGATTACTCTCAATTTTAATTGTTTCTTTTCTTTGCTCCTGCTGTTTTTTTGTCTTATCATCATATAATCAATCATATGTGAAGCATTTGAGCTGCACTAACCTGCATGAAAGGTGCTATAAAAATTGAGTTTGATTGATTGGTTCAAGAAATAATTTAGTTTCTACACACCTGATGTCGTAAATGGTTACACAAAGAAAACCGGTCAAAAGATTGAGAATAGTCAGTTGTTTCCAAAACAAATCACCTTCTCATCCAACTTGTCATTACATATTCATTGTGTTGTGGTTCATGCTGTTCTGTCTGACTTCAACTAGTGGTGCAACGGATTTCTAGAAAATGCTTGAAATACAAAACAAAAAGACATGGATTTATTCGATAATCAGTTATATTGAATTACCTCAAAGCAACTCTAACATAAAGAACAACAACTCCTAGGACTCAGCGTAATTCTACTACTATACAATTACAATATGTTTCAGGTCTGATACAAAATCATACCTGAATACTTTTTGAGTTTTACTCCATTTATTATAATACCACAAAATACAAAAGCCAAAGGGTTTGGAGTCACCAAATAAATCTGTAATGGTGTGCAACTGAAACATCCCAGGCAAGAGGAGTGTTGTTCTGAGATCAACTCAGAATTTCCACGATTACCAAGTAGAAAGTTTCAAAGAAAAATGTGATGTCGGGGACAAAAGAAGCCACTGGTTTAATCTTAAATATATGGTGTGTTGGATTTTAAGATCAAATACTTTTTTAAGTGTCAAATCTTGTTTTTCAAAGTACTAGTATCTTCAACTCTCTAATGAATGCCGTGGAGTAAATAGAACAATTCTCCCTAATATGTGGTGGAGAATAAGGTAACACTGTGTAACTAACTGATGTTATAGTTTTTTGGTGCCAAAATAAAACCAGTTTTCATGCAGCATCTGCTTGGTTTAAAGTGGAACAAAGAAATATACAAATCAAGCAAATAATCAAAATATCTGATCTGACAGAGTGTATTTTCTATTATGTTTGTAAAAATCATGTCTGAAAGCCAATGTGTTCTTTCACCTCCATCTGTCGCTATAAAACTTCTAAATATTACATTTAATCTCCCTGTCAAGCTTAACAAATACCTGGTGTAGGGCTGCTGTGTGAGCACCCACAGAACTACTCACATTATGAAACACTAACTTGTTTCCTGAGGCTTTTGAAGTGTGCCAAGTGCTGGCATTAAGCAAGCTGCGGAAATTCCACTAGGCAGTAACTGAAAACAGCATAATAAAATAAGTGAGACCATCCTGTGAAACATGAGGAGAGGCTGACTGACTGGGTGGAGACTGTACCACGGGAGGAAGGCTGTAGCAAGTGGGGTAAGTCCAGTTCAGACGAGATGATGTTAAATAAGGAGATAACAGGCTGCAGCTGTAAAAATGAGGATGAGGTGTACAAGGTCAACATTACATAGATGAAAACACAGGCATATTATCACCTTATGAACCAGTTTGGATTAATTGAACCATCTGAAAGACACAGCAACATGATCATTCCTTTTAAATCCAGTGTTCCCTCTCTTCGATCTCTGTGTTTCCACCTCCTCCTCATGTTCATACTGACTTTTTAGCCAAATAATCCCAAATTCACCAGTTGCTCTCTGACTGTGTCTGTTTGCTTTTTGCTGCTGAGCAGGTCAGGGACATATGATATGGGCAGATGTTAAAAAACAATGAGCCACAAGAGGTTACAAATCTCTTTAGCCCTGAGAGGAGCTGCAGAGATGACAACTCTCTGTGGATTTTTTACTTTAAAGGTCCAGTGTGTAAGATTTAGGTGAAAGGAATTTTTGGCAGAAATTGAATATAAAATAATCCTAATGATGTTTTTACGTGTGTGTTTCATCTAAATTGTATGAATTGTTGTTTTCTTTACCATAGAATGAGCTCTTTATATTTAGATGTCACTAAATTCTACACACTGAACCAACAACTCCATACTCAAGATCGAGTATTAAATGTCCACCTTTTCTCAGTAAACATGCACATCTGAGCTCAGTTTGTGTTTGTTGAAGAGATATTATTTTGGCCACATGTTGTGAGGCTGTGGCAGCAGAGTGATCAGAGCCCCTAACACCAGCTAACAGTCTGCAGACGCCAGGCTGACGTCATGTCAACACAAACATGCAGATGAGTAGTTGAAAAGACTTTTAGTTTCTTTATCTGTGCTCAAACTTATCATATCCTTACTTTATCATCTGTTACTCTCATGGTGATAGCATGTGTGAGTCATTTGGAATTTGACAGATTCATATGCCACTAGAAAGATAGATTGAGAAAATGATGTGGCATGAACTTCTCTTCAGACTCACAGTGTTCAGGTGCTTCTGTTCAGCATCTCTCCCGGTGGTAACAACATTAGGGTTAGCCATAATACAGGGTGTTGTCTGCAAATATTTTCTCTGTCATCAACCTCAGTAACACAGACAGCAGCATTGCGTGTTTACATCACAGGATCCGGTCTCAGGTTCCCCCAGAGGTTTCCATTTTGCATCTCACAACGGCTGACAGGTTTTGCCGCATCATCGTGGCGCAGCACCAACATGTCTTAGCTCACAGTTAAATCCAGTCACATTGGTGAGTGTGGATAAGGGAAACAAGTGTGCAGCAGCCACAAACCTGGTGCCAAGATGACTCAGGGAGTAACCAGGTTAACGGAATTAACACACTGCTTAGAGAGGATTAACTGTCCTTCAGAAAGCACAGCACAAAGCAGGGAAGAGCATCAGATCACCTACAATCCCACCAGCTATACTGATGCACACCTATTTTAGGACTGTGTATGTATTTATGTCTACACACTCTGTGTATGCAGGTCAGGCTTTAGTCTTAGGTGTATCAGGATTCAGGCCACAACTAATCCTTATTTCCACTCTGTGGCACCACTCAACAACCATGAGTGAAATGAGTTCATGCAGTTCCAACAAAAGTCTCACACCTTCTCTCTACCTGATCAGGAGTCCAAATCTGGAGGATCTAAGCTTCATTTTATTTTGGAGCACAAAGCTCATGAAAAATAAAGTGTGTGAGAGGCAGTAGCTCCAGCTGTAATGTTAGATACATATTTAATCAAGATAGGGCAGCAGGGAATGCTAAATATCTGAAATGCAAACTCAAGAACTCTATCTTTTTAGTCTGACTTT